ATCTTTTTATTCCAATGCATCTTAACAATTTTAGCTCAAGCTCAAGTAGATTGTTCTTCTTTGGTGGAAAATCTATGACAGTATAGTAGATCGTCTCATTGTTAGTAATGGTCATTAATAAATGACAAATCACCCAAAAATAAACAGCAAGGATTTTGAAAAGGAACTAAAAGGTGGAAAACATGGAGGGGAATATGACACTCATGTCAAAAAAGCCTTGTATGTGTAAACTCAATGCTTGCCCTCATGCAATCATGCAATGTAAAGAAAATAAACAGTTGAGAAAACGTAAGAAAATAAGGATGCAGTAAGACTTATTTGAGTTCTCTCAACAATAGTTTTTTTAGCTCTAAGTAAGGATACTTTGTTTAGCCAACCTGAATTTGTTTGTTCATGCGATGCTGATTGTCTTATTTTACTAATAGAAAAATTCTTGTCACATAAACTGAAACAACAACTACTGTCGTTGAGGTAACTTATTTTCTTCTGTTTCCTGGATGGAAAAAAAAGAATGTGTAAGAAGTCACCACATTATCAATTTTGTTTATTAACCAATGACAAACGGTGAACTGTTTTAGAAATCTTAATGGATATCTTCACTGTCTTCATTCGTAAAATATCTTACAAGACTATAAAATCCATAAAATGGATTCAGTTGGTTGAACATACTTTAGGCCTCAAAACTAGACACAATTAAGAAGAATTAAGACACACAATTAAGAAAGGTGGCAATCAAAAATTGTTAAAAAGATTAGCTCTTTACATCACAGTACAACAAATAACTAACAATAATGACAAAATAACATTTTAAGTTTAAATGAAGTCAGCAAACAGCAAAATAATCCTATATCAGTAGCTGCATAATTTATTCATGCTGCTATGCATGCTGGGAACTCACAAAGCCTTAACATTTCAACAATATAAAAATTATTTGTTCAGAAAACTGTTCGCCTAGTTGGGACAACAATTTGTATGGTGATTTTGTTGGCCTGACAAGGGTTTGTATGTAGTTTTAAGAACATTGCATTTTTTACAGTGCGGTTCTCCATCTAAACATGCGTTTGAAGTCAAAACTCCTGAGAATCAGACACGTCCCTCTCAATTTTCAAATGTAACGCAATTGTCAAACTAATTTAATCTCTTATCCCTGATAGAAAGGTGGCAATCAACAATTGTTAAAAAGATTAGCTCTTTACATCACAGTACAACAAATAACTAACAATAATGACAAAATAACAACAAAAAAGTTTAAATGAAGTCAGCAAACAGCAAAATAATCCTATATCGGTAGCTGCATAATTTATTCATGCTGCTATGCATGCTGGGAACTCACAAAGCCTTAACATTTCAACAATATAAAAATGATTTGTTCAGAAAACTGTTCGCCTAGTTGGGACAACAATTTGTATGGTGATTTTGTTGGGTGAAGTGTACATTTTTTAAATTTTTATTGCAGATATATTTATTATATTTTACTATATAATATACTCAGTTTTGTATATTATAGTGAAATAGTGTTATTACAAAAATAATATTCCTTATTTGGGGTAATGTTTTTATTTAGAAATAATAACCATAATCATTATTAGTTTTATTGATAGATAAAAACAACATTTTTGGCCAAATTGTGGCGCCCCAAAAATACCACAAACCTTGTTTTTTTTTTTTTATTTTATTAATATTTTTGTTCACTGTCTGCAGCATCAAAAATTGTAAACACATTCACTGTCTGCAGCATCAAAAATTGTAAACACATTCACTGTCTGCAGCATCAAAAATTGTTTCTTTTCTATGTGGTTTCCTCAAAAAAGTACATCCATCTTCTTGTATCTGTTTCTTGTCTAATCTCTCTCCTATATGTGCCGGCTCATTAATATTCAACACACGATTACCATACCAGGCAGAAATGCTAATTTAAAAAGTACTAGTATCTATTAAGTTCAGGATATCTCTGGTCTAAAAAGTTACTAGTAACTAAAAAATAAGTACTAGTTCTATTTTTTCTTAACAAGAAGAGTATAATTAAATACTAGTCACTATTGGAATAAGTACTAGTATCTAATGATTAAGTACTAGTATCTAATGAATAAGTACTAGTAACTTTACAAAAGACACTAGTACCTAAAGAATAAACACTAGTACCTAAAGAATAAGCACTAGCAGCTAAAGAATAAGCACTAGTACCTAATGAATAAGTACTAGTACTTAATGGAAAAGATACTAGTATCTAAAAAATAGATACTAGTACCATGAAAATAGATACTAGTACGGCTTACAGATTAAATGTTACAACGGCTTGCCATACTTTCTATGCGTGACCACAGATGAAGGTGTAGCCTACCTGATCATGTTGTTGTGCTCATATTTGCACTACATGTTGTTACAGGAAGAAGCTCTGTTAATGGGATCATGGTGTGAATTCACTGGAGGGAGGATACACTTACAAGAAGAGACCTCACCCATCTCTGTGTCACACAAACACTGTTCCTGTAGCATAGCAGCTGACACAAACCCTACACCACACTATTGTTTCTTCCCTTTCATTTAGAAGACACTTTTCAAATGTATTTTTCCCGAAACAGGCTGAAACAGTAGCACTAAACCCCAAGATCTATGGATGTCTGGCTATTATTTTTCATTTTTCTGTTCCTCTGTGTAGAATTTCTGCAAATAACTGTTTACAAACTCCCAGTGTAATGGACACTATTATCAAATTCATGTATTTTGTCAAAGGATGTTCATGAATGACTGATTTTCAGAATAAAGAGCCTTTGTGAGGATGAAACTGCCTTTTGTGTGGAATCATTCATGCGTTATGATTCATGAATGTATTAAACTGATGATCAAACAGAATATTGTGTTTACATTTTATAAATATGAAATGGTGAGTATTAATGGATAGGGGGTATAGCTCAGTGGTAGAGCATTTGACTGCAGATCAAGAGGTCCCCGGTTCAAATCCGGGTGCCCCCTACGGTTGTTTTGAGAAAATACATATGCGTAATATAATTGCATATCTGTAAATATTCCGCGAGCAAACAAGCCATACGCGCTCGTATCATAACCAGACGAGACTGACAAACGAAAATGAAGACGCATTTAAACTTCAGTCAAGGGATTCGTTTGGTTTTCAGCGATGCTGGACACAGATAACCAATAGGGAGCAGTATGGGACAGCAGATTAGAGAGTGCCACGTAGACAATAAAAAAAGAAATATGAAGAATTACAGCGACATCCAACGGCACCACATACATTAACCCTCTCAACCATCCGGGTCATCCTAAACACCATGTTAAATATATATGTGGATTCAGATTCCCCTCAGTCAAATCAGCCACATACTGGAATAATATAAGCTGTTTATCTAGTTTCATTATACATTTGTATAATTAAACATAGTATTTATGTAGTTTTAGCTTTTAATTGTTTTTTTTTTCATGTCAAGTTACATTTGTTTATTGCATGGTTGATGTTACTATTATTATAATACACTCCAGCTAGTTTACATTTAATCATTTAGCAGATGCTTTTATCCAAAGCGACTTACAAATGAGGACAATAGAAGCAATCAAAATTAACAAAAGAGCAATGATATACAAGTGCTATAAGTCTCAATTAGCCTAACGCAGTACACGTAGCAAGGGTATTTTTTTTAATTATATAATAAATAAAAAGAAAACAGATAGAATAGAATAGAATCAAGAATAGAATTAGAGAATAGAATTAGAATAGGGAGTGCTAGAGTTAGAGGGTCAAATAAAGATGGAATAGATGTGTTTTTAGCCGGTTCTTGAAGATGGGTAAGGACTCAGCTGCTCGGATTGAGTTGGGCAGGTCATCCCATCAGGAGGGAACATTTAATGTAAATGTCAGAGTTTAGTTTAGTTGTATTATTAAAGCATTACATATTTTAATTATAGACAGAAAACTGTTCCTAGAAATATTTGTCAATGTCTGCTCTAGTGTATATAAAGTATATAGTGTAAACACTGAATTTGCACTCTTTTGTTAATCAGTAGAAGACAAGAATGCATTTTCCTTTCCCGGATTCGCTTCACTCTTCTTTATCTGTTTCATAGTAACTACCACTGTGTAAAATGCAGGTGGTATAATCTCAGGTGACTGTCATCAGCACCCAACATGCAGAGGAAGGAACACATGGAGTGCAACTTTCAGTTTTTAGGTTCACATCAAAAATCACACAACTAAAAGGGAAGTTCACACACATTACAGAACAATTAAGAAGTTTTAATGTTACACTTGTCTGCCTACGCCTGTTCCCGAGAGTGAGTAATATAAGTTACTTCCCCTCTGGACTCTCCAGCTCCAAGCCTAGAAGTCATGAGACTAAGCACATGACAATGTACACCTCATACAACCTCCACATGCAATGTAAAAATAACGTTTCTTCAACATTTCATTGATATGTCAATGCTTCGGTAAACTTTTTTTTCTTCCAGTTTTATTAATGGACGTCTACAAATAGCTGTAGTAAATGCACTGAGAAAACTGGTCTATTGGATTTTGAGCTTTAAAAAAAATATATAGAATAGCCTATTTATGTGTATAGGCTATATGTGTTCTATCCTGCACTTTCACACCCTTATTCACAAAATGGTTCCTACCATAAGAGATTTAAACTTATCCATATAATATGTGTCCAACATCTGTCGGTTTTTAAAGAATGAAACAAGTTCTACCAGATAAACAACTGGTTTACAACACGTCTATATATTTCTATGATCAGTGAACGCATTCAAAGATCGTAGAGGGAAGCCTGCAATGGAACATACCAAATTACCAATAAAATAGGGGTGTCGTTCAAGCGACAAAACCACCCAATGCTCGCACAAAACTGATAACGTGTATTCAATTCTACTAAAACGTCGAAAATCCTCTCTGAGATCCCGTGACAGTCAGTCATTACAAAATCCTAGAAAGAAATACGTTGCGCAGCGTGTTCATAAGTCATCCCCGGAGAAGCGGAAATGGACCCTGCACTCTTGGTTGATCATGTGACTCTCTCCGCTTCGCCATTTTCTTCCTCTCCGCCGGCGATCTAGCTCCTGTCAGATCCGTGACCGTCTCTTGCGCTCCGCTCCTGCTCCTACAAGACCTGTCAGCCTTGAACAGCGCTCCCTTAGAGCCTACACCTCCTAGACTGAAGCCTTCCTCCCTCTCTGTCTTTAGTTTTAGGTGTCTGAACGCGCAAGAAGAATGTCCGCCGAGAGCCCCCTGTACTCTCCCTTCTTCGCAGTGATGGGTGCCTCGGCAGCAATGGTGTTCAGTGGTAAGAGACGCGTCGTTTTACCCTCATTAAACTGAGTGTCCGTCACTTTGAATGCTTTATTAGGTGCATAGCCCGATGCTGGCTGAGCCGTGTACCTGTAGTAGCTGAAGGGATGCGAAGGTTTCCATCACGGCACATGATGTCTCGGTTGACGTAATGTCTGTTAATTATTTATTTCGTTTCATTATTTCCTTCATTGTTGCGGCTCACTGAACCCTGCGTGGTAAACTCAAGACGCTGCCGTGTCGATGAGCCGATGCTCCTGTTGTAATGTTTGCGCAAGGACATCATTTACTTAATGTCCTCTATGGCTGGAAGAACGGCAGACTTTTTTTGGTTTCGTTGTTGTTCTTATCATCGCTATCTTCTTATAATCGCTTATCCTGCGTGTATGGGTCTAGACTGTAACTGTAGCGTCGCCTGACCGATTAAATGCCATTGATTTTCTTCAACTTCAGACGAAATGCATTACTTAATTAACATAAACAGGTTTGCTCTTATCTAATGCGACGGCCCTTTTTAGAAAACACGAACTACACGCCCAGACAAAAACTGTCCTGGTCAGTTTAACTGTTTATCTCAGAGACACACGTAACGTCTGTAACGTTACTCAAACGACAGCCATTGCTCTTGGCATTTAATACATTTTTAAGTGCCGTCTCAGCGCATCGTGCCTCAGTCCAGGAAAGATCCAAATACATTTGATGCAACTCCTCGCTCGCTTCCTACAAACGAAAGGGACTCGCTGCTTCTGTAGTCATGTGACGGAGAACCAAAGCAGTTGACGACTGTCGCAGTGTTTTGCTGAGCTTGCCTTTTGAGGTCTTTAAATCAAGACACCACAGATGAATAGGTTCATAATCAGAAGGAGCGTTATTGCCAAGTGTGTTTACACACACAAGGAATTCGTCTTGGTGTCAGGAGCTTCCAGTGCAGACATGCATGTCATTTAAGGTGATAGAAACACTAATAATAAAGAGAAGAGACCGTAAATTATAAATAACAATATCATAATAAAATATCGAGAAAAGAAATGTGAGTAGACAGAATTGTGAATGTGGATATGTGGTATTTACAGATGAAAGTTTGATGAGTTAACTTGTTAACAGATGTGCAGTCCTGAGGTGTGTTATGTTTTGTTCAGGTGGGATATGGCCTGGGGAAAAAACTGATCTTGTGTCTGACTGTTCTGGTGGTCTGTGCTCTGTAGTGCCGGCCAGTGGGGAACAGTTCAAAGAGGAAGTGTGCTGAGGGGTCCCGAGTGAATTTACCTGCCCTTTCCCTCACTCTGGAGATGTAAAGATCTGGGAGGTTGGGAAGGGGGGCACCAATAATCCTCTGAGCAGTCCTGACTGTCCGTTGTAGTCTTCTGATGTCTGATTTAGTAGCTGAGCCGAACCAAACAGTTATAGACGAACACAGGACATACTCCGAGTAGATCTGTGTGAGCAGCTCCGCACACAAAAGGAGACAGCAGACATTAAAATGCTTTAACTTAATCTTAAAGCAGACATTAAAGGGGTCATATGATGCGATTTCAATTTTTCCTTTCTCTTTGGAGTGTTGCAAGCTCTTGGTGCATAAAAAAGATCTGTAAAGTTGCAAACACTAAAGTCTGATGAGTTTGATGAGTTAACTTGTTAACAGATGTACAGTCCTGAGGTGTGTTATGTTTTGTTCAGGTGGGATATGGCCTGGGGAAAAAACTGATCTTGTGTCTGACTGTTCTGGTGGTCTGTGCTCTGTAGTGCCGGCCAGTGGGGAACAGTTCAAAGAGGAAGTGTGCTGAGGGGTCCCGAGTGAATTTACCTGCCCTTTCCCTCACTCTGGAGATGTAAAGATCTGGGAGGTTGGGAAGGGGGGCACCAATAATCCTCTGAGCAGTCCTGACTGTCCGTTGTAGTCTTCTGATGTCTGATTTAGTAGCTGAGCCAAACCAAACAGTTATAGACGAACACAGGACATACTCCAAGTAGATCTGTGTGAGCAGCTCCGCACACAAAAGGAGACAGCAGACATTAAAATGCTTTAACTTAATCTTAAAGCAGACATTAAAGGGGTCATATGATGCGATTTCAATTTTTCCTTTCTCTTTGGAGTGTTGCAAGCTCTTGGTGCAT